TAAGGGCTGTATTTTTTATTTATTTATTTAAAAGATTTTATTTATTTATTTGACAGAGAGAGACACAGTGAGAGAGGGAACATAAGCAGGGGGAGCGAGAGAGGGAGAAACAGGCTTCCCGCGGAGCAGGGAGCCTGACGTGGGGCTCGATCCCAGGACCCTGGGACCATGACCTGAGCCGAAGACAGACGCTTAACGACTGAGCCATCCAAGGCGCCCAGGGCTGTATTTTTTTTAAAACCTAATGGGAGCACGAGGAAAACATAATCAAGACAGACTATTCCATAGCAGAACGTGTGCTCATATATAACCTTTTCACTAGACTAAAAATTCCTTTTTTACTCACAAAAAGAAAATGAGACATTTTGCAAGAATTTTAACTTTCAATTCAGATTATCTAGTTAAGAGTTTCACTTAGAGTATTCTTCTTTTGAATGCTATCCTGCCCTATAAACCCTGCTTCTAATGAAAAGAATTTTATTGTTTTTTAAAAAAAATTTTTTTTAAAATTTTATTTATTTTTTTGAGAGACAGAGCGAGAGAGAGCCAAGTGGGCGGCAGAGGCTGAGGGCGAGGGAGAAACAGGCTCCCTGCTGAGGAGGGGCTTGGTCCCAGGACACCAGGATCATGACCCAAGCCAAAGGCACACTTAACTGACTGAGCCACCCAGGCGCCCTGACAAGAATTTTAAAAAGACTGGGTGCCTGGGTGGCTCAGTCGTTAGGCGTCTGCCTTCGGCTCAGGTCATGGTCCAGGATCCTGGGATCGAGCCCCGCATCAGGGCAAGCACCAAGTCATGACGGGCCCTAGAGGCCAAAAGGAGTTTGAATGCAAAAGCAAACCACTGAAGACTTTTGAAAAGAATCTACTTACTGAGGGATAATTTATACAGAAAACACACTGATTTTAAGTATACTAGGATTAATTTTGACAAATGTTTACTCCAGTGTAACTACCATCCAAATCAAGAGAGAGAACTTGCATCACCCCTCGAAGTTTCCTCCTATTCTTCTGCTTCTCAAACAGATGAATGTTCTCTGATGTCTCTTCCCTCCCCCTATGGAGGGATGATTTCTGCCACCACAGCTTAGTTACACCTGTTTTAGAACTTTGTATTAATGGAATTACATAATATGTATTCTTTTCCATCTTTTGGATCTTTCTAGCTCAAAAGGTTTTGGAGATTCATTGTTGAGTCGAGTACCCTCCTTTTTGCTGACAAGTAGTATTCCATTAAATGAGTTTACCACAATTCATATTTAGTCACCTGTTGATGGACATTTGGGTTATTTCTAGTTTTGAGCTACTACACATAGCACTGTTATGAACATTCTTGAACACAGTGCTTTGTGAACGTGTTTTCATTTTTCTTGTTTATATACCTAGAAGTGGAATTGCTGGGTACTACGCTGGGTGTATACATAACTTCATAAAAACCTGACAAACCTCAATAAAGCTGTTAAAAAAACCTTGCTGAACTCTTCCACAGCACAATTTTATATCCCTACCAGCAGAGTATGAGAGTTCTAGTTGCTCTTTACTCTTGCTAATGTCAGACTATTACTAATCTTCTTAACTATTTCAGTGGGTGTGAAGTAGTATCTCAGGCCCTCCTGTCCAATAACGTTGAGCATATTTACATGTGCTTACTGGCCAAATATCTTTTCATTGAGGGTTTTTATTTTTTTTTTTAGATTTTATTTATTTGACAGAGAGAGAGACAGCGAGAGAGGGAACACAAGCAGGGGGAGTGGGAGAGGGAGAAGCAGGCTTCCC